TATCAAGCTCCAGGTGATTTGAAACACAAAAAATAGCAGAAAGAATGGTGCCAGGACGGAGAGGCAGATGCTGACTATCAAGAATATAGGCACAGGCTGTAAGTGACTCCTAGTCCTAGGGGATGAAACTGCACGAGACATGAGAGCAACATTCTCACACGCACCTGCTACATGATGATGATGATGCTGGAGCACATCACGCCCAGACACCAGCAGAATCTCCAGACAGACACGAAAAACAATTCCACAGAAGAACTGAGACGAACGCTGGTGAAGGAAACCAAACGTATTGGACTGGATTTTATCCACAATATCGAACGGATTGCACAGGATCCAACGGAAATGAGGATTAGACTGCGAACCCCTTTATGCCAGAGTTATTCAGGTAGGCTTAATCGGAGACCAAAATGTTGAAAATGTGGATGGTTGTGGGCCAGGGGCTGGAATTGCAGCGTAGAGAGATCATTAATACAATATAAATGGCAAATTCCTCGGCCCACTTGCTATGCCTCCAATGGGCAGATTCGGTCCGCTAGCTGCCAGTTTGAATAACCCTGCCCTATGCCGTGAAGGAACATGATGATAATCATTGTGATTTTTTATATTAGTAACTACAAATAAAACAAACTGTGACTTCAAAGAAAGTTCATATTTTTTTACATGTGTTTAGAGAGAGACTTCTTGATACCAGCTCGACTGACTGACTGACTGAATTTCTACCCCACCAGGACATCACACAAGCGATAAACACCCGATGACACAAAGTGCCACCATGCGGATGAGGATCACCGTGGAGAGGTCCCAGAAACCGCGTTTAGACATTTAGCCATAATGATGACCTGCCTATATTGCGGCCCCTGGCAAAAGCCAGAGTGGGGCTTCAAATAACAAAAAATAACGTCCTAAGAAGGACGTGAGGGATATTAAACCAGCTCGACTACAGCGACTCTTGTTTATAATGTTTCTAGTGCAGAAAGGGCGGAGCTGACCTACAAAGACGTGCCTGCCCAGACAGATTTCGCAGTTCAATGTCAGCCGGCCTGTGTGACCCAGATTCCCGTGTTTCCAGGCCGCCCATGATAAATATAGCCGGCGTAACTGAGGGCATTCACAAACAGACTCTCCCCTCCCCTCTGGTTTTATTTGCGGCCACGTCTGTGCGGTGTCAACAAAACACAAACTACCACACACATTTTACCCGCGGTTGGAGTAGTCAACTCCTTTGGTAGGGTAATTTGCTGTGTTATGTTGTGTAATATACTATAGGTTCTTCTCCTGTGTTCATGAGAAGGTGAAATTGCGTTGTCGTTTACGGCTTGGTCGAGATATTTGTGCTTTTTGGCCGACACATCCGACTTTGACATGACATTTGTTGACATGGTTAACCACCAAGGAGATACAGAGTGACCTTGTTTCTTCAAGCCGGACCGTGATGAGAGCGACGTTCTGCAAAGGACCTGCTTCATGATGATGACCTCCTTGTGTCATCTGACTTTTTTTTTTTTTTGGTCTGAAGGCTGAGTAGAGCTGAACCCCACTAGGACCGCATAGTGTGCACTGTGGCCTTCGTAGTCGCTTTTCAAATGCGGGACCCCCCTGCCCTCCACCCCACCCCCAGTAAAATTTTACTGGGGTCTCGACGGTTACATATTGCCGACATTGTGGGTCTGAATATCCTGCCTACTTGTTTACGACTGGTTAAATATCACAGCTAAGACCGCCTTTGTAGTCAGCTCTATGCTGGTTAGTTGCGTATCCTTCACAGGACGTTGCAGAACCAAACTCAACAGTCCCTGGCTGTTGTGTGGTTTTTCTAGGTAAATTTACGTCCAGTAGTTTGCCATTGCTTCCTGGACAGTCGGCTTTCTTGATACCACTGTCGAAACCAACGCAAGGCGCATGGCCAGCAGCTGGGATCGAACCCGGCATTACGAAGCGTTCGCATCGACTTGGCCACAGAGCCGACCAGCCCTATGCAACAACGCCAAAAACTGGGAGCATTAACTCCTAAGCTGCATAGAAGTTATCTTTTTTATGTACTCTTTTGATACGATTTATATATATTATTTGAAATATATTATTAATATTCTTGTTGTTATTATTCAAGAGGAAAGTCGACAGCTTGTAGTACTGTTTTCTCTGAATCATGCGATATACTTTCTGAGATGAGCTTCCATTGCCATTCATCCCGGTTGGCTGGGATATCTTTCATTTTGTTTAAACTGCCCACGTTGGTTTCCGGCTCCCGTTGTGGGGAGGGGAGAGAATAGGCCCACTGCCCCCTCCTTACAAACATGTCGTAAGAGTCGACTAATTCAGAATGCCTGTTTCGAAGTCGAGTGAATCTGCCTGAAAGACGAGGAAGCAAGTCTGCAAACAAATACGACTGTAAAACGTCCGTGCACACATAATTCAGATTCTAGAACAAGACCAGAGCTAAAAAGTGGATGAACCACCAGAACTTCGCCAGAGTTTAAGCCAGTGAAAGCGAAGAAGAAGCTGAAGAAGAAGAAGAAGCAGAGAAGAAAGTTTAGACTAGTCCATGTTTGCTTGAAGTTGCAGCCGCTGCAGTGTTCTACAGAATGAAGTAACAAAGGTTGCAGCCGCTGCAGTGTTCTACAGAATGAAGTAACAAAGTTCACACCAAACATTAGCTGCCTGATACGACATGCATGATATGTTACAGTACTGAGACTCTGCTTCTCATTCAGCAGGGCAAGTAACACATAGGTGGGGACTGCTGAAGAGGTCTGACGTGACAGGACTTCACATAAAATGCAAACCGGGATTATGAGTCGAAGGTCATGATTCCCCTAGTTACTGGATTCGACCTTTTAGAGAAATCCCTAATGCCCATTTCAAGTTCCCCGTGTGGGTTCCAGGGTTGCATTTCAGAGACCAAATAATAGATCCCCAGCCCCCTGCTCGCATGTCGTATGAGGCTACTTAGGGGTATTTTCTACAAAGTCGGGAGTGCATCTGCCTGATAGACAAGAAACCAACAGTCTGCACACTAATAAGTCAGATCTGTAAAATGGATTTGCACGAAAAACTCAAGTTCTGGATTAAGACTAATGTCCATGAGTGGACGAACCACCATGACTTTGCGCCGGAATTTTCATGTGGCCGGAAATTGAAATTCGTCGTCAGTGGAAGGCGGGTTGCAGCGGGTGGTGGGTGGGGGGGGGGAGGTGGATCGATCCCCGAATGTAAACCTCAAAGCCAACGAATGATCGATGGCTAGGTGATTAATTTACGCTAACGAAATCTGGCATTAATGAGTGCATGTCAGCAGATGACAGAATGTATGTCATTAATGTCGGTGCCCTTTGTGCACTCGCGCTAATTAATCTCTTTCGGTACCAAAACGGTTTTACTGAGATTACAAAGTGAGAGAAGAATGTGGATGAAGAATCGTGTAGATAGATACATTATTTTTAAAGTGGCATTATACACAGTGGTAATGAGCATAAGGGAAAAACAGATTTGTGTAGTGTGTTCTGACCTTCTTTTGAAGAGTCCATGCCGTGTGGCGTTGGTAGTCATGTCTATTCACAACCTTCTATCTTGTGTACTTTCAGTCAAATTCCGACACAGATGATCTTCCATGCCATGATGTCAAACTGTCCAGCATCTGTTCTCTCGATCTCCCTCTGCCTCTCCTCCAGTTTTCCTACCGTCACCGTGTACTCCAGTTCTGACCAAAGATTTTTTAAAAAAAAAGTACCTTATGCTGTTGAGGGGACATCAAGGGGTAGATTCATTAACAGATGCGGCCTTTCTCGGGAATGAAAGAGTTAACGCGTTATGTTGAACAGACATCATGCTGTCTCCACAGTCGAGGTTGGCCGCAGTGCATCTACCCATATTGGATGGGGGGGGGGGTGAGATGGAGGTAGTAGTGGAAATGGGGAGGCAGGGAAGGGGGTGGTGTCAGCCTCCCCGTTGACATTTTGCAAGCACCCAATCTTTCCCTAACCATACAAATAAGCTCTCTTTTTCAAGCATTTGTATAAACAGTGCCCCCCCCCCCCCCCCCCCCCCCCCCCCCCCCCCCCCCTCCCCCAATATATTTAATCTGTTTAATTTTCATTTATCTAATAATAATAACAATAATAATAATAATACAAAGTTGAAAACAGGAATTCTGCGAGACGGAACAATCAAGAGCTTATGCTTAAAGAAATACCTGCCAGCCGGGGACTCAAATGAACATATGCCCGCATTCTTTTCTTCTGCCACCTTATCCCCCCAGTGGAGCATAGGCCCTCAACAAGCTCACTCCACTCCAAGTCCTTCTAACCTTCGCTATGGCATGCAGCTTTCCCCATGTCATCCCCATCTTTTAAACTTTACTCTCTAGCTACCTTCTCCATGTTTTTTCCCCCTTCTCTTTGTTGTTGTTGTTATGGCCCTGTGGGTTCCTGTACAAGGACATTAGTTATATTGTACTCAGGTTTTCCTAGCGTGTGTCCTGTCCAACGTCAGCGTCTTTTCTTCACCTGTTGGTCCACTGGAACTTGTTTAGTCCTCTCTCAAAGCTCTACATTAGTTGTTCTATCATATATTTTTATTCCCCTTTTCTGCTCTGGCACGAGTTAATGAATGTTTGTAGTTCATTAGTAATCGCTTCAGTTGTTATCCATGTTTCCGCTCCATGCGACAGTACTGATTTGACATTGGAATTAATAATTTCACAAATTTCCCGGTACCGTGAAAGCTAACTTTGTCCCTGCAATCACCAATATTGTGTTCATGTTAACAGATTGCTAAGCTTAGCCCCAATCCAGCCCCCCCCCTTCCCTCAGTCCTAGAAGATGTTCAGGAGACAGTTCCCCCCCCCCCTCCATATATTTTAAAAATGTGTCGGTGCCTCCGCTCCCTGTAATTTTCATTTATGTCTGAAGTCTGCCTGTTTGTCCGTCGATCAGTCTATATGTCTGTGATGATGATGATGATGATGATATTTGATGGCCTGCATCTATGACTCCTCTTTACAGGGCCGTGACCGACCCCAGAGACGGCAAACGTGTGGCGCTGAAGAAGATGTCCAATGTTTTCCAGAACGTCGTGTCTGCCATCCGTGTGTACCGCGAGCTGCGCATGCTCTGTCACTTCAGGCACGAGAACGTGAGTACTGCTGTAGGCCTTGTTGGTCATCATACTTATCATCTCTTGTTTTCTGCTTCGCCTTCGCTAAAGGGACTACTTAACCTTTTTTTTTTTTTAAGAATGCATACTAGGCTCCACCTAAGCATGACTTGGTCATGTTTCCTCAACAGAATGATGTTTTATTGTCAACAGACTCTGAGCCACATAAAAAATAGTCTGTAAAATGGCGAGTTGTGAGGTAAGAAACGACATCACAGCATTGGAGATATTCCCATAAGCGCCCCTCTCTCGTCTTCAGCAACTAGCGCAGAGTTTCAATTCTGATGATACCAGTAAAAGTCTTATTGTCTCGCCCGGCCAGATCGCCTGGTCGCGCCTCACTCCGGCATTCTTGTCAGACAGAATGATCTAAGTGTGCCTTCGCACTATTGACTCTCTCCCGGCGTGCCTTTACAACATCTTACTTGTCATGCATCAATTTAACACCCACAAAAAGCGATTAATAGGGGGGGGGGGGGAGGCAGCCTGTCCATCTATCTGATTGTTCAATTTGCAACATATTACCATAGCCTTAGCGAAATAATTCAAAGGATGCTAACTACCTCGGACTTGTGTAATGGCGCTTTTTAGTTATGGATAAAGAGAACACTATGCATTTGATAATTGAGAATTTTACTATCAAAACCCTACAACCTGAAAGTTTCACGCCAAGGTATGGAGAACTGTATAAACTTAGGCACTCGGTGCAACTATACATTCAGACTCAGTTATCAAAGACATCAAGCACCCGAGGAACTGTAATCGGAAGATTGGATTGCCAGCAAAGAATAGTGCCCACAACATTTCCACACTTGGCGGTGATAACAACTGAAGCAGTTCTGACGTGCAGTAAAATAGGCGTCAGTTGGCTGAAAGAGATCGTTCCTTCAGTCAGAAAGTAATAATTGCAACACCGTGGCGAAACAAGGCAGGTAATATTAGATATGGCGATAACTAAAGGGGCATTCCATCAGTTGTGGGGAGTGTTTGCAAATATTGGTTGCCAAGAGACATATGGGGTCTTCCCCCCCCCCCCTCACCCTCGTATAGAGTTTAAAAGAAATTCAATTCGTAAAACACGGCACCCGGCAGCAGCAGACGGAATAGAAGAAGCCACTCGAGAACATAGCCCGATATCGGAAACGATTTTAGAAAAAAACACAAACTGGAAGACGAACCAAGCGCAACTTTCGAGCAGACAGAAACAACATCAAACACCATAATTATAACCTTTCAAATACAGGTTGAACAGGGTCATCTCAAAGTAAAAACCCTGCATAGTGTCAAGTTGAGTTGCATCATCCGTTATTCTATTGTTGACTGCCCCTGTCTCGTTCCCGTACTGCATTTCTGGACGCCTCGACGATATACACTAGATAATGTTGTAGAGTTTCTCTGATGCTGTCATTCCACGCAGTTCTTGGTATACCTCAGGTTGTCTCTCTCTCTCTCTATGTCTCTCTCTCTCTCTCTCTATCTCTCTCTCTCTCTCTCTCTCTCTCTCTCTCTCTCTCTCTCTCTCTTTTATCGTTTATACCCTGCATGGTATGACATCACTAGGCATTCTCTGCAAGTGGGCAAACCATTCTGTTGACCGTCTTTGTATGTAATGTAGTACTGGTTCAGCTGTCTTGTTTCTTATTCTTTAGCTGCATACAATAATATATAGCAACTTCGATTGTATTAGCTATTCGGTTTCTCTTTTTTTTTCTCCATCAGTCTTGCCAATTGTAACCAAGTTCTGTATTCCACTGCTTCTCACAAACACGGACAGAACATTTGCGGAAACCACTAGATCGACCTAGCTAAAATATGCATCAGATAATATCTTGGAAAGTAGAGGCGGCCGGCGTGATGTTGATAACACTGTCAATCAAATGCCCACTGATCTGTAAACATATGTCTACCACCATATGCCCATGCCCCAATCACATGGACAAGGTCTGGTTTAAACAAAAATAGTACAACGATATTGTGTTGCATTGGGCATCACTCTGTATCACTTTCTTACTCACACATAGTCCACCGTACTTTCTCACTCGCACATTCACTTACTCATGTACCCACTCACTCACTCCATGTCTAACTCACTCCGTCTCTAACTCACTCACACACAGTCTCGTCACTCACATACACACACACACACGCTCATTCATTTACTCTTTCATACTCACATTAAGTTTATCTAACACACACATACACACACGCACACTGACACCAGCAGAAGACCTATACCTATGCCATTTACCACGGAAGTGTCACGCCAACAGCCCCGGCCTGCCACGCCCCCTGCCATTGGCTAGGCCTGTTGCAGCCTGCCTGCTCTCCCCTGGTACCACAGACACCTCTCTTACACATGTCCACCTCTCCCTGTTTCCGGTCTTCATCCCGGTTCATGGCCTCCGCTTGGGTTCTGTCATTGGTTTGATTATCTATTTGTATATTATATATGTATATATATATTTTTTTTAAACATTTTTCCCCCTTAAAATTTCACGCCTATGATAGCAATGATTGGTTTCTTCACGGGCATTGCTTATTTTGTTGTGTTCTCTCAAACGCTTTCCACGTCATTGTCATGTTGAGCCATTTTTGGGCCATTATATGTCATTTAGGGCTCGCAGTCTATTTATTTCATTGCTTTCTGTTCTGTGCAATCCTTGCGATGCCATGGATGGAATTTAGTCCATCCTTCTTGCCTTCTGTCATCAGTGTCCCTTCTAAGTCTTCTTTTAGACCTCCTCTATTCCTCGGTGCTTATATTTCCTATGTGATTCTCTAGCCGATACTTGTCAGTATGTGTCAAAAATAGCGCCATCTTTTCTGAGGCAGTTGAGACAACTGATGATGTTCTCTAAGACTCCAAAGTAAACATATCAAGGCAAAACTTTTGGCGAAGAGAAACATCGGTGCAAGTGAAACTTTACAGGTATCTGAGTGAATTACAAAAGACAGTGAAGTTCATACCAGAGACAACATTGCTGATATAGAAACTTTTTTTCAAGCGAACGAAAGAAGAAGAAGATATCGTTAACACATCGAACAGTAGGCTAGAACTGTATTTTCTGACGACCAATCGGCATTCGGCAGGTTATATAGTCATCATATTACCCACTGTATGTACTTCCCTCGACATTTTCCAGTTCCAGTTTTTAGACTTGGTCGACCTAGAAGCCCGGGTCAGTTCCCTTTCACAGAAAAATATCCGGTCTCAGTGCGAACTCGAACCCGAGACCTGTGGACCTACGTTACCCCGGCTCCTACGTGGGTCATGTTTACTTATGAATAATGCATGACATGCAGATGAGCAACGGTAAATACAAGCTAACTGTTTCCTCCGTAGGTTCTCTCAGCGTTGGATATACTGCAGCCCGGAGCCATGGATTTCCTGCACGAAATGTATCCTTACTGCACCACCACTGTTTATTATACATAACTTTCTCTCTTTAGGGTACCTGTTACCAGCCAGCAGCATAAAGCAACATTATCCTCACCGTCACCTAGATCGGTCTCATCATCAATATCGTCATTCTCATCATCACGCTCATCATCATTATCATCGTCTTGCAAGTCCTTTGTGGAACATGCTCCGTACGAAAGCTTCTCGATCATTCGCCCGTTGTCGTGCCTCCCAGACTTAGAGGAACAGGGCGTGTTAAGCTCATTTAGGACTAAGTAACACTGCTTTCAGTAATGTGTGTCGGGAGTAAAGTTATCAGTAACGGAAAACGGGGTGGGGGGGGGGGTAAAGTTATTAGTAACGGAAAACCGGGGTAACGTTATCAGTAACGGAAAACCGGGGTAAAGTTATCAGTAACGGAAAACCGGGGTGACTGCAGTTATTATTATTATTATTATTATTTACTACTATTTTCGCCCCTTCATTTCTCTTGTTCGTTGCATACTTTTTCTTCTCCCTATATTTTATAGTTATTTGCGTGACCTCTTGTGGCCCGTGTACTTTGTCCTACGTTGTTGCTGTTGTGGTTTATGTCGAAAAAAGGCTTTAGCCGAAATGTGTTTGTTGTTTCTTCTTCCCCTTTCGTTTAGCTTCTTGTGGTCAGTAAATGTAGGGCGAGTGACCTGGAACTGAAAGAATTAAAGTGCTAGGTGGCTATGAAACGCAGTTTAAGAATCCCTGCTCGAGCAATCCGTATTTTGAAACTATAGTTGTGTGACAAATCATGTGTCGACAGTAAAAGTATGTGTCGTCTTCACAGGAAAGGTTGACTGTAGTCTTGCTTTTGTCACTGGGATATCAAGCAAAAGAACCTCTCTCTCTCTCTCTCTCTCTCTCTCTCTCTCTCTCTCTCTCTCTCTCTCTCTCTCTCTCTCTCTCTCTCTCTCTCTCTCTCTCTCTCTCTCTCTCTCTCTCCCACAATAATTGTTTTCTTCGTTTTCCTGATAAAATCCGCCCGTCGCGGAAATTCAACCTCGATACGTCAGAGGATTGTGAAGCACATTCACCAGCCCCTAAAAGCCACATATCCGCGTGTGTTGAAACTAAGCCACTGTAAAGTAAAGGGATATGAGAACACCGTGATGGACAGACTTTAAGCAAACGATGTGCCGAATATAATCCACTCAAGCCAAACTGGCAAAGTAGGACGTCTGCTGGGAGCCCACGGGAGTGTGTGCGGATACGTGACCGTTAGAAATAAATCTAAAACCGCCTGGGTCTCGCGGGGCCACATTCTTCTGCCATGACGTGTTGACCTCGGTCAGTGAGGAGCGATGAGAATGGGGTGCCTTAATCAGTGAGGAGCGATAGGAATGGGGCGCCTTTATAAGTGATGAGCGATGGGAATGGGGGGGGGGGGGGGGCTTTTATCATTGAGGAGCGATGGGTGGGGGCTTTTATCATTGAGGATCGATGGGTGGGGGGGGGGGCTTTTTTATCAGTGATGAGCGATGGGAATGGAGGGGGGGGGGGGTTTAATCAGTGATGAGCGATGGGAATGGATGGGGGAGGGGCTTTAATCATTGAAGAGTGATGGGAATGGATGGGGGGGGGGGGGGCTTTTATCATTGAGAAGCGATGGGAATGGGTGGGGGGGGGGGGGCTTTTATCATTGAGGATCGATGGGAAATGGGTGGGGGGGGGGGGCTTTTATCATTGATGAGCGATGGGAATGGATGGGGGGGGGGGGCTTTATCATTGAGGAGCGATGGGAATGGGTGGGGGAGGGGCTTTTATCATTGAGGAGCGATTTGGAATGGATGGGGGGGGGGGGGGAGTAATATCGGATGGGGGGGGGCGGGAGATATTGGGGGGGGGGGGGGGGGGCTTTTATCATTGAGGAGCGATGGGAATGGGTGGGGGAGGGGGGGGGCTTTTATCAGTGATGAGCGATGGGAATGGGGGGGGGGGGGGGCTTTTATCAGTGATGAGCGATGGGAATGGGGAGCCTTTATCGGTGAGGAGCGATGGAAATGGGGGGGGGGGAAGCTTTTATCATTGAGGAGCGATGGGAATGGGTGGGGGGGGGGGCTTTTATCAGTGATGAGCGATGGGAATGGGGGGCCTTTATCGGTGAGGAGCGATGGGATGGGGGGGGGGCTTTTATCAGTGATGGGAATGGGGGGGGGGGCTTTTATCAGTGAGGAGCGATGGGAATGGGGGGCCTTTATCGGTGAGGAGCGATGGGAATGGGGGGGGGGCTTTTATCAGTGAGGAGCGATGGGAATGGGGGGGGGGGGGCCTTTATCGGTGAGGAGCGATGGGAATGGGGGCCTTTATCGGTGAGGAGCGATGGGAATGGGGGGGGGGGCTTTTATCAGTGAGGAGCGATGGGAATGGGGGGCCTTTATCAGTATCGCTGTGCTATATCCCATAATGTTATATTTCAGTCTCTCTTTCTCTCTCTCTATCTATCTATCTATCTCTCTTTCTATTTCTCCCTGTGAGGGGGTGTAGATGAGGGAAACATGCAAGAGATACAGATAGAAATGTGGACACATATTTTTATTTTAGATTGATGAATTGATGAATGGGGGAAATCTTAGAAACATACGGACGTATGAACACACGAGACGTCATTGGAACATCACCGAGGCCATACTGGCAAATCTAATATTAGGCACTCTTTATCCCTTCTTGTGATCTCCTGGATACTTTAGGCTGGTGAAACCGTCCTTACAAACCAACCATTCTGGTTTTAGTATTTGGGGCAGGGTTACCAATTCTGGGTTTTTACCCCCAAATCTGGGTTTTTTTTTAGACGCCTTGGGTTTAAATTTTGGAAATCTGGGTTTTTAAAAAAAAATCAATATTTATATAAAAGTGGGTAAATGTTTAATTTCGTAACTATAAAATTTGTACTTGTTAACAATCTTTTTTTTTTTTTTTTGCATTTGAATTGCTTGGGTTTAGCTTATCTGGGTTTTTCAGAAAAGTCACATTGGCAGCCCTGATTTGAGGCCTTCATAAACGACGACATGACTTTAGAAATGAGCTCTTCCAGTCCCATGTAGTTGTTACTTTAAACGTTGTCTATCCCCAAGTTTGGCTATCTCAGAGCAAACTCGTTTAGTCTTATGGCAGTGGTTCTCAAACGTCCTAATGCCGCGACCTTTTAATACAGTTCCTCGTGTTGTGGCGACCCTTTAATACAGTTCCTCGTGTTGTGGCGACCCTTTAATACAGTTCCTCGTCTGTGGCGACCCCAAAAAAGGGTATTTGTAAACATACGTGATTGTGGTATACGCAAATTTGCAACATTACCCGAGCTACGGAGTTCATGCATTGTGAGATTCTCCTTATGTGGTCTGTCAGCGGAGACTGGGGCGTTCATGGAGATACTTAAGAACCTGGAGAACTTGTGATATCTAGTAGTAAGTATAGGATGCAGCATTATTTATGGAGTGGTGAGTGTTTGGTGGGATGCAGGAGACAGAAGGAAGGAGACAACTCGGGCGCGTCGTGGCAACGGGTAAGTCTGGTGGAGGAAAAGTCGCGGAGAAACGACATTGACAGTAATCAAATGTGTCTGAGGTTTGAACAACGGATCAACACCATGGCACACGGGTAGTAACCCATAAGTGCTCCATTTTCTTCTAACCCAAGTCCGAAGAAGCTCAGCACAGTGCACAGGCTCTGCAGCACCAGCGAGGATTCCGAAATACTTTGCGAAGACGTTTTACTCTAAATTTTGCACATGTAGCGCCGTTAGACTACTCTTTTCGATTTCCAACTGCCAAGGGATTTCTTACGTGCGCAACAATGCACACGGGCGTCCGATCTCACAACCCAGAGACAAGGAGTAATTACTAGAAGTTCAAGTCCACATGAAAAAATCCCAGCCCTTACCGGGGATTGAACCCGTAACCTTAAGCACTCGAGGCAGACACCATGCCTCGAGACCGCGCATCCCCCCTGTTATCAGATATATAAAGAGCTTTAGCCATATTTGCCACTCAAACAGAAAACGCTGAGAGGACAGACAATGAAAAAGAAACACAGGGTCAAGGGAAGAATTGTCTCAGCGATGTGTGTACTACACATCTGTGACGTCTCAGCGATGTGTGTACAACACATCTGTGACGTCTCAGCGATGTATGTACAATACATCTGTGACATCTCAACGATGTGTGTACAACATATCTATGACATCTCAGCGATGTGTGTACAACACATCTGTGACATCTCAACGATGTATTTACAACACATCTATGACGTCTCAGCGATGTGTGTACAACACATCTGTGACATCTCAACGATGTGTGTACAACATATCTATGACATCTCAGCGATGTGTGTACAACACATCTGTGACATCCAGAGGTGACTAGTCTTTTGACCGCCGGGTTATAAATTCATAATCGTGTGCGCGCCAAGTGTATGGCTGTGTATTGCATACCAATCCCCTCCCCAACGACCCTCACTAGGTACTAGATACCGGTCCAAGTCACTAGTGTTGGTGCAATTGACAATTCTTAGCCACACACAAAAACAGGCCACACTTATAGCCGATACTGCTTGCAATAGGCTGAAAGTGCTCGATTTTTATTTTGTTGTCATAAATAGAAGTAATAAATGTAAGCAGCTTGGTTGGATATTTAGGACCTAGTAATCAGGTTGAGCTCCCGCCCTCTAGACCCATCCAGCCCGGGCGCCCAGTCCCACTTTCAGTCCTACTAAAGACGCCCATGGGGATATGATAAGTTCAGTTATGACAATAATTCACAAGAGAGATCGATGATAACATCTGCTGCCACCCTGTGATCCCAAGGGAACTCAAAGAATAAATGAACGATCCCGATAGTTATTAATAGCGAAGCAGCAGCTGTGTGTGCCAGCTGTCTCTCTCTCTCTCTCTCTCTCTCTCTCTCTCTCTCTCTCTCTCTCTCTCTCTCTCTCTCTCTCTCTCTCTCTCTCTCTACACAAGCCCGTCAGTGGT